GCCCTGTATGCTAAATTTTGAAGTAACTGGTGTTACATACCTATGAGAACAACCACACAGGTGCTCCTGAAAAGAAAAGGGCTGCCAGTTAATAAAGGGTCAGACAGACTGTATGGCAGGATTGGAGTCCAGGTTATCAGCCTTCCTCACAGTCCAGCTGGCGTCTTTGAAGCCGTTAGCCCCAGGAAGAAGGAAAGCCATCAAAGGCACTAGTGGGTCTCACAGCCACAGCCCCACCCAAGGATGAAGCAAAAAGAGGCTGTGGGCATGAAACCGCTCCTCCGCTGGGATCAGAGGAGGGCATGGAAGCTGGACCTTGATCTTTCTCATCAGCAGAGGGATGAGCAGAGATGGTCTCCCTAAGCACCACCTCAAGGCTCAGAAAAGCACCTCCCAGGCCCTGACACTCTCCTTGGCTTGAAGCCACAGGGTAAACTGGCTGTGTGTGTCAGTGACAAATGGCATGTGATGCAGAGCCTGGCAGGGCACCGTGTTCACTGGAGGAGCCTCTGATCTTCTCTGGAGACACTGGTCGGGGGGTGGGATTGCAAACGGATTATCCTAACTCTCAAGGAATCCTCCTGTCTGCTCAATGTTAGTGAGAGTCAGGCCACAGCCAGCATTGAGCACGGTGACAGGCCTGTGGCAGGCCTTCTAGAGATGCTGACGGATGGAGGAGTTCATTATCGTGGCTGGAGAGAATACGCAGGCTTCAGAGCTGCTGTGGGTCTGAAAACGCAGGGGGCAGATGTAGAATATGGACTCTCTGGTCGCATTAACGGCAGAGGAATTACATGATTAAAGATTGCCCATTTTCTTAATGATAGCAAATATCAGCATTCAGAGGGCTCATGGTCACTAATTTTGCCTTTCTTGAGTTATATGTGCCTGAGAAATCTCAGAACTGTGCCATGGCTCAGTTTCCCAAAAGAACTAATAACGCTTTTAAAATTGGAGCACAATGAGATACAGATGTGCTTTCTAGGTGCTCAAAGCTGCTTTTCCTGACAGGCTGTGGAGCAATATTATTACATAAACGAAATTAGCTATCCTTCCTTTAGAAGTGATTTTTAATTTCATAGGTAAAGTCTATGGCCCTCGATACCCTAATGTTCCTTGAGTTCTTACATGGGCATCACATGACATTCAACTCTCACTTCTCAGGCTGTTCTTCAGAGTAACTCTTGTCATATACTTTTCATTATGAATTCATATCAACAATTACTCTGATTACCTTTGGTTATCAGTTTTCTATTATTTTATTATTAGACATACTGAGATTAAAAAATCAGGAACTCAGGGAGATTTGAATCCAAGAGCACTAACCATAAGAACAGAAATTTTATTGATCTTGGGACATGACATCTTGATGCTGCTTAAAAAATACCAGTTTCCCTCTCTTGTTCAAATGTATTGAAGGCAACAGACATCATTCATGATAATATGCAATAGGTTAATCTTTTGATACAAACAAAAGTTAGAAGCTATATGATATCACTTATATGTAGAATCTAAAATATGAACATATCTGTGAAGCAAAACAGACTCACAGACACAGAGAACAGACTTGTGGTAGCCAAGGGGGAGAGGGTGTAGCAGGTGGATGGACTAGGACTTTCGGATTAACAGATGCAAACTATTACATATAGATTGGGTAGATAATAAGATCCTACTGCATAGCACAGAAAACTATATTCAATGTCCTGGGATAAACCATAATAGGAGAGAATATGAGAAAGAATTTATATATACGTATGACTGATTCACTTGGCCGTACAGCAGAAAGTAACACAACATTGTAAATCAACTATACATTGATTTTTTAAAAAGCTAGAAGCTATATAATATCTTAAGTGCCATCGTAAGTTAATGCTAATGTGCTGTATTCCAAAAATGGAAGAATACACAGAGATGGGACAGCACACTACTTTATGAAAATATCACTATTTCCCAAAAAGAAAGAAAAGCTAGAAATTTACCAACTACATTCATGTTACCAAAAAAAAGTTGACTTGCTCTGAGTGTGTCTTTGGGTAAATCACTTAGTCTGTGGGCCTGTTTTCTCATTAATAAGACAAAGGAATAAGCAAAGTGATTTCTAACATTCCTTTCAGATACAACTTCTATGATTCTATGTGAAGTAGCATTCAGAGAACTGTAAACTGGTTTTGTAGCCACCCCTCCAAGAGTTCACTGTTTAGATGTTAAACAAATGGGGATATAAATGTAGTAGAAAATCAGGCAAAACATTGCTATGCAAGGAACATAAAAAATATTGATCTTTCTAGTTCTTTTTCTGATTTCCCACCAAGGCAAACCATCCTATAACAAACTATATTATAGTAATCACTGTTAACTTCAGATTATTACTAGCAAATGAAAGAAAAATATTTTGCTACCCAGATGATTACTTTTCTATGGTCACCCTTTATATTGCTTATGACTAAGAGTAAGATAGAGGCACTAGTATAAAATAATGGTGGTGATTAGCCCTCAGATAAATGATGCTGACTGTCTAAACTGGGACCCCCAGGTAAGAACTGGGCTGCACAGTAGGAGGTGAGAGGCAGGTGAGCAAGCAAAGCTTCATCTGTATTTACAGCCATTTCTCATCACTCACATTACCTCCTGAGCTCTGCCTCCTGTTAGATCGGGGATAGCATTAGACTCTCATAGGAGCATGAACCCTACTCTATGTGAATCATACTGAAACCATCCCCCACCTCACCCCACCCCACCTCCACCCTGGGTCTATGGAAAAATCATCTTCCATGAAACCAGTCCCTGGTGCCAAAAAGGTTGGGACTACTGGTCTAAGCAACTGAAAACTTTTGGCTCTTTCCCAAGTACCAGCTAAAATGATCCATTATCTAAGTATATGTGCACACTGATACATATGCATACATAGGTAATTACATTTTATATTGTTTTCAGAGTTTCTAATCATCACAGTACAGGTGCAGAAACTATTCTGAAAATGACTGTGTGCCAACTTTTCAACTAAGAATTATTTTACTTTTTAGTGGGCAGTGAGATAAGTATAAAAAGTCAATTTACTTGTTTTTTGTCACTGTTTTCAGAAACTGTGAAGTGCAGTCGCTCAGTCGTGTCCGGCTCTTTGTGACCCCATGGGCTGTAACCTAGCAGGATCCTCAGTCCACGGGATTCTCCAGGCAAGGGTACTGGAGTGGGTTGCCACTGCCTTCTCCAGATATATACTCCACTGGTGTTCAAGTTGATTTTAGGTGATATATGGACATTTTAAAATGTTTAAAAAAAGTATTTACTTATTTTAATGTATGTTAGGGGGAAAAGTAATAAACACTGCAAGCCTGTGATTTCAGATGTGTTTGCTTAGGATGAGGCCAAAGAAAAACAACAGGTTGGTTTAAAGAAAAATATTGTCATTAGTAGTGAAGGTAGTACATAGGCATAGCAAACACTCTTATTTTTTTTAACTTTTTAAAAATTAAACCTTTTATTGTATATTGGAGTATAGCCAATTAATAATGTTGTGATAGTTTCAGGTGAGCAGTGAAGGGATTCAGCCATACAGATACATGGATCCATCTCCCCCAAACCCCCTCCCATCCAGGCTGCCACGTAACATTAAGCAGAGTTCCCTGTGTTGTACTTTAGGTCCTTGTTGGGCAAACACTTTTAAAGATATGAGAGTGAATCAAATTTGATGAATACCAATGAATGATGAATTTACTCATCCACTCTGATGAACATTATACACAGAGAGTTCAAATCAGGTACTCTGTGATAACCTAGATGTGTAGGATGGGGTGGAAGGGAGGTTCTAGAGGGAGGGGACATATGTATACCTATGGCTGATTCCTGTTGATGTATGGTAGAGATCAGAACAACACTGTAAAGCAATTATCCTCCAATTGAAAATGAATGAATTTTTAAAATGACATTTAACATCTCTGCAATGTCTTGTAACACATTTAATTTTTCTGGCCTATTAAGGAACTAACTCCTGTTCTGGAGGTAACATCCCCACAACACATCAGAAATATAATCTTGACTTCTAATTAGTCAGAGAAAGTTATTATCTAGTTTTAATTCTCAGACCTTTTCATTGATCCTGTAATTGACATTATTTTAAATGATATGGATATAAAAATATAAATGTGATATTTTATGGTGTAAAAAAATATAGATCGAGACATTGTGGTCAGACATAGTACAACTACTTAGTAAGCTTTCCAATTTTATAGAATAAAACTCTAAAGTTTTAATGCATCACTCTTTTTAGAGAAACAAGATATAAATAAACTCTCCTTTAGTGACAGTGTTGTAAAATCATCACATTATATAGGAATAATTCATGAAAACTTGGGCTTCCCTGGTGGCTCAGAAAGTAAAGTATCTGCCTGCAATGCGGGAGACCTGGGTTCGATCCCTGGGTTGGGAATATCCCTTGGAGAAGGGAATAGATATCCACTCCAGTGTTCTTGCCTGGAGAATCCCATGAACAGAGGAGCCTGGCAAGCTACAGTATATGGGGTAGCGAAGAGTCAGACATGACTGAGCAACTAACACGTTCACTTTTCTTAACGAAAACTTATTTTAGCCAAAGTATTACTAAAAACAAAAATAAAAATAAGTAAGTGGAAACAGCTTCATCAGATAACACAGTATCCTTACATAATGCCTTATGAAAACTCCACATTAAAAAAAATGCAATTCTGATTTTTAAAAGCAAAATAATTTAGAAACTAATCATTTTGACCTCACTGTGGCAAGAATACGTAACAGCAAAGCCCAGTGAAATATCCCTAATGCTAGAAACTGTATATGTTCTTGTATATATTTTAAATCTAACAATTAAATGACATTCAGTAGGCAAGAATATATAGAACTATGTAGAACCTGCACAGAGACTGTTTAAACTTGAATCTCTTAGCTTGACATATTTTAATTTTTCCACTGAAATACTCTGATAGACAAAAAGTTAAAAAGGCAATACCTGGGAGGAATGAAGAAGGTCAGAAAGGAACATCGCAACTGGATCTGCTGAAATCCTCTATTTCCCTGGACACATAGCAGGGCAGATATGGCTGTAAGGTCAAAGTCTCCATCATGTCTGTACTTAAAACAGCAGAATCTTCACTACTTATGCACTCAGCTGCTCCCAGATATTTAGTTCCACAGGAGAAAGAAGAATACTTGCAAACTATTCTTTCCTGGTTGATACTGGGGCAAGTTCAAAAGAACACAGAAGCCAAAGGGAATCAGTGTTAGGCCTTAGATCTGCACTGGAGGCCAGTGGCCCCTTTTGAAATTCCTGTGTTGTGTGAATTTGTGCAGTGGCAAATGGAGGCTCTGAGGTTAAAAACTGAACTTGGAGAAACTGCAGCATGGGAAACTATAACTCGTAGAAAAGCACTGACTCATGAAATGATAGATATGCCATAGACCAGGGAGTGATAAATAAGAACATGTGTCAAATAATCTAGGCTAAAACTAGCAAAGACGTCCTTGTAGCCTTTCCTGGGTAAAGGTTTCAAGAATACTTTTCTATGGAACGGTTGGTAATGAAAACCACATTCTACCTATGTGTGTATTCTCTTATGTAAACATGCATACCTTACTGTTCAAATTTAATCTGTCCCTCTAAATGTGATTCTATCAAATTTTGCATTACAGGAGAGAGAGATATATATCTATGTATATATAATTATATATAAAGAAGAAATGAATTATATATTCATATGATTATATGATTATATAATTATATACATAATTCATTTCATCTTTGAAGAAATAATTCTCTTATTTGAACTTATTAATATGGACATTTTAAAAGCTTACAAATGTAGAAAGTACAGTGTAATGAACCCCTATGTATCATCATGCAGCTTCAGCAGTAATTCCAACTACAAACAGTTTTTGAAGGGAAAAATAATGTTTCCCAGCTCATACAAAACCATTCAACCAATTATCCCAAATATTACTAACATACTCTTATAAACCCACATGACAGTCCTCTAAGGATTTCTGGCTATCCATTTACTGCAAAAGACATTTTTAAAAAGAGCTTTTAAAAAAAACAACAAAAACTACAATTCTGTTCTGAAGCTGAACATGGTGGTTTTCCAGTATCAACTCTAGTATGCATGGTCGATGCAGACAGGGCACATCAACATCTTTGAGCTTTTCATGTCCCCAGTGTTTCTTCAAATATAAGAGCTTATCTAACTTCCTCTTGGTTCATCATCTTTCTTCAGAGACTCTTCTGCTTTCATGGACATTTTCAGCTGATAATAAGGAGGCAGAGATTCAGAACACATCTTACAGCAGGAGCACAAGATGTCACCCTCTAGGGAAAAGATGTGTGATAGGACCAAAGTGTATTTTATATCCTGTTACCCTTTTTGATGGCATAAGTATGCAGACTAGTCAAGGCATGTTTTTGATTCAGAGAGGATATTTTAGGTTAAAAATATGTGCTAGTTGTCATCACAAATATCTGGATGGTGATAGTTCAGATGGCAAGATATACTTGCTTACATGCATTTTATGGTTAACAGCTTAATACACTATGTAGAATTCATTGAATCATGTTGCTTTGATTTTCATCAGTTCAATCTTTTAAGTCACAAACATAAAGCTCTCCTCCAAGTAATGTTAAGAGGTTCCTGAACTGAGTAGACTCTCCAAAAATTTGTAGTTATCACTTGATTGCTCAAATTTGATAATTTTTTTTTTAAACCCTCCAAGAATGGTAGTTTCTAGAGACCATTGGGTTTCCCTGGAGGTTCAGACAGTAAAGAATCCACCTGCAATGCAAGAGACCCAAGTTTGATCCCTGGGTCAAGAAGACCCCCTGGAGAAGGGAATAGCTACCCACTCCAGTATTCTTGCCTGGAAAATTCCGTGGACAGAGGAGCCTTGCAGGCTGTACAGTCCTTAGGGTCACAAAGAGCTGGACACAACTGAGTGACTTAAGCACACACGTACATACAGAGACCATTATTACTGTAGCCTAGCCTGATGGGCTGAATTGTACCCCCTCTAAACATTCTTAGGTTCAAGTCCTAACCCCCACTATCTCAGGATGTGAGAGTATTTGGACATAGGGTATTTAAAAAAGGTAACTGTGCCAAAAAGAGTTTGTTATGGTAGGTCCTACTTTAACAGACTATGTCATGTAGTTGGAAGAAAAGATTAGGACACAGAGAGAAGACCATGTGATGATACAGGGAGGAGGGGTAATGAACAAGCAGAAAAGAGAAACTTCAAAAGAAACCAAATCTACCTACAACCTTGATCTCGGACTTCTAGCCTCCAGAAAAATGAAAAAATCAATTTCTTTTGTTTAAGTCAGCCTGTGATATTTTGTTATGCAGCCCTAGCAAACCAATACAGTCAGTAATAGAGGTCGTGTAGTCCAAGCCATGGAAGTGGCCTTTAATTACACCAGGGGGCTCTGGGTCTATCAAGTGAGTAGAAAATTTGTCAAGAGTCTGGCCAGGCATATGCAATATAATCTAATCCTTTTTGACAAATGTTGATGCCAATGAGGTGACAGCTCAGTGTATAGACCGAGAGTAAATAAATCATTATTGCAGTTATTTGTCAGGGCTTAATAGAAAAGCTTGCTGAAAAGTTAAGCAGATACCACACACAACAGATGTGGCAGCTGTATAATTTGAAATACCCCTGAACTAGGGGATTCACTTCATATTTCCTATAAACTTTCACAGACCAAGAATATGACATCTAACTTTTCAGAGACATAAGGAATGTAGTAGATGAGACCTAGAAAGGATAGAATAAACATGATAACTTTGAGATTGTAGGAAAGAAAATATTTTAAATATTCCAAAAATCAATAATATACAAATTTGAAAATAGTAAGCAATATTAAGAAAGACATATTTTTTGGTACACAAAAATACTAAGGATTTTATGGTTGCAGTGGACTTTCAATTGCACACGGAGCATTAAATTCATAATAATATTTACCAATAGAGTCTTCAAAGTGTTTTTAAAACACTAAATAATTACCCAATTAAGCCATTGCGAGATAAGCTGTCATTACTCTAGATTTAGTGGAAAAGACTAATAATTATTATTTTAACAGTTTCTGTGAAGAAAGACTCGGTGTTTACTGAACACAAGTGTGAGACACAGACCAGCCTTTTAGTGAATAGGGAACAGAAAAAGCAAAAGGTTGATTAGATAAGTGAATTCAGAGGAAGGCAGAGACGATTAAGAACTAAAAACCATGACCAGTGAGAACAGAGAATTTAATATGCAAAACAGAGACCAAAATTGGCAGAAAGCTACTTGTGAAAACTGCCAATATTCAGTGTGGCCGACTGACATTGGGGGATCTTTGGTCATGCCCTGAACAACATAATTCATCACGCCAGTGCTCAGGGCAGTCATGTCCAAGCAATTTATCATCATCATATCATTCGTCTGAGTAAGAGAGGGGGAGAACTTTGATTGTTAACCTCTAGGGAGACTGGATTTATAGCCAGCATCCCTAAGAAGGCAGCATGGCTCTGCCCTAAGCAAAATGCTCCCTGCTTCACTTCTGTTTAAGTCAGAGGAAAAGGGGGAACACCTTGCTTCCTGCACGGGGAGAGCAAAATCTAGGTCTGATCCTGTTAGATCTGGAAAAAGGAAGCAAGGAAATGATATTTAAAAGTATTGTCTGAGGCTACTTTAAAAAAAATTAGAAAGTAGTTAATGGTAAGTATAGATGATTCATTTCAAGTGTCCCTTGATGACAAAATAATTTCTGCACTGCATCCATTGATATAACTACATTTGGAAAGAACTAACAATGAATCTGTGAACCTTCCTCTATATTGGAAAACTTGGGAAGAATGCTTAAATTTTAAATAATGTATTTATATAGAAAAATACATTTATATTTTATAAATATATAAAATACATTTACATATTGTAAATATACATTTTATATTATACATTTTAAGTATATAAAATATGTTTATATTTTATGTATTTATAAATATGTCTGTATCTAGATATAAATATATATATAAAAAATGAAAATGACAACCTTAATTCCTATCCTTTATGGACTCTGAACCTTTATGTACTTTACACTTTAACACCTGCTGCCCTTAGAGAATGTGATTAAACATCTAAATGCCATCTTCATCACCTTTGATTAAAATCACAAAGTTGACTTGAGTGTTGTGGAAACAAGTCTACCTGCTATCTCATCTGATAGTTAAAGGAACACTGGTCACAATAGCACACTTCTTACAGAACCTTCCCTCTCTTAGGCTCTCAAAATATCTGATAAGCTGGAAACCAGTAATCCCTGGAGGCATGTGGCTCAGACCTTACCTGAGTGTATTAGTCCGAATAGGCTAGGTTATGCTGATTTAACAAACAAATCCCCACACCCTGGAGCCTAAACCCAACAGAAGCTGATTTCTGGCTCACACTGTGTCTAACACAGAGTGTTGGGGACTCTGCTGGTTGTCTTCATTCTATGTTCCAGGCTGACAGAACAGCCACTGTCTAGAAAACCAGTGGTCACTCTGGCAGAGGGAAAGAGAGCGGGGTATGCCTCTCATTGGCTTTTAAAGCTTCCACCTGAGAGTGACACAGGTCACTCCACTTCTATTTAATTAACCAAAGCAACTCCATGGCCATGCCTCACTGGAAGGGGACAGAGAAGTAGATAACAGTTAGGACTCCCATGCTGAGCAGGCAGAGACAGTTGTACTCAGAGAGCTAATGGTTTCTTGAAACAGGTCGTCAGAATCACAGAGCCAGTTTATGCCAGATGACTAAGTGGGAGCAGATATTTTATTTTTCGTCTTCCTTTTTTTTTTTTTTAAGTGAGGGAGGAATGTCTATGAATGAGAAGGCTTTTTTTAAAATGAAACATTTTTAGAAAAACACGAACCATTGAGAAACAGAACGATGCCGTGTTCAGTATATGAAAAACACATTCAACAGCCATCTCAGGTTTTCTTTTTAACAATGATGTTCATGGGCAGTCCACAGCTTAAGGACTTAGCAGGGTTACTGTTTGGTTCACTGGGGTATTTAAGGCATGTAGAAGAAAGATTCCTCATATGGTAACACTTTAAAGTAACAAGTATGCATATTTTCCAAGATCACAAGCTCCTCCCATTCTCTGTAGTTCATTATTTTGTCTTCAGGCTTAATTCTGAGAACAACTTCTACAAGCCTTACATAGGGGTCCACTGCCTACTACAATACCAGGTATCTTAGGGCCAAGCGCAAGACTAAGAAGGCATTAAATACATAGGGATAGACTTTTCAAGACTGTAAATGATCTGTTGTTCTTTGCTCCTATCTGGCTCAAATTTTAACTATGCACACTGCAAAGTGTATAAGGAGATCAACCAGTCAATCCTAAAGGAAATCAACCCTGAATATTCATTGGAAGGACTGATGCTGAAGCTGACACTCTAGTACTTTGGCCATCTGAGGCAAAGAGACAACTCACTGGAAAAGACCCTAATGTTGGGAAAGACTGAAGGCCAAAGAAGAGGGTAGCAGATGATGAGATGGTTGGATAGCACCACCAGCTCAATGGACATGAATCTGAGCAAACTCCAGGAGATAATGGAGGACAGGGAAGCCTGGCATGCTGCAATCCATGGGGTTGCAGAGTTGGACACGACTTAGCGACTGAACAACAACAGAATATTTATTAAAAAAAAAAATCTACACTATATATAGTTTAGTCACTTTTATAACAATAAAGCAGCATCTAGCCTCCACAAATAAACATAGCATTTCATAAAGTAGAACTCTTATCCTTTTTAAAATTAAGTTGCTATCTTGCTATCAACAGTCAGTCAGCTGTCTGATTTCTTTTTCTTTGCCTCTTGCACTGAGATTTCTTTTCGAAGGGGCTTGGTTATTTCTGGAATTACATCAGGCCTTCAGGATAAGAGCTGTACACCCCTCCTGCCAATGTAAAATAAAATGTAACTGGCCAAGGAGAAGTTCTACTTCTTAGGGGTTTTTTTCTTACTGATATTCATTCTATATGACAGTGAATGTGACAGATCCTTTAGGATAGGAGTCAATGCTTGTCAGTTTTCTCCACTGGAGAAGTGATTTAAGGACGAATAGACTCGTGTGTCTACATATGGAGGAAGTTCTCTAAACGTCCCCCCACCCCAGGTGTCACTGCACCTGAGGAGTCTTCAAAATATCACTTCGCGGCTGTAAATACATGATCATATCCGCACTTAAGAGTATCTGGAGTATCTTCACGATGGAAAGACCATGACAGTAAAATAAAGCGGCAAGCTGAGGCAGGCCCAAGGCTTAGAGGTATGATTTCAAAGCTTATAAAGGAGAACAAGCGTGGAATAGATGACCCTGATGCCAGCACAGCTGCCCGACTACGACCCCAGAGCACTTCTGCCCACCAACCCTGAGCTGGAGCCACGAGGGGCCCTCAGCCTCGCTCTGCGCGGGACTCTGCATCTCGGGTTTCAAGCTCGACTTTGCAGGACTTTAAACTTCGGGACTGAAGAAGGAAATGGAAACTCCAGTATTCTTGCCTGGAGAGTCCGAAGAACAGAGAAGCCTGGCAGGCTACATACAGTCCATGGGATCCAAAGAGTCGGACACGACTTAGCGACTAAACCACCACCACCAGACTTCTGGGCAACAAGCCACCGGCAAGCCTCGACCAGCCTCCCAGGCCTCCCGCAGCCTCAAGATCCCCGACTTTGCAGCTTCCCCGAGAGCGCTAGGAGAAAGGCAGCAAGAAGCCAAAGCCATAGGGACTCCTGCCCCAGGCGGGACCTCCGCTGCGGTCCCTGCAGGAGTTCACGCGCCCAGCTCTGCAGCCACAGCACCCTTCCTACCGGGCCCAAGCTCCCGCGCCCGCTCCGGTTCCCGGGCGCCTTCCCTCCACTCGCGGCGCGCTGCCTTCTCCCTGGGGACCCTCTGCAGGGCCAACTTCCCGGGTCTTTGACTTGTCCCCAATCCCCGCCCACTTCATCCGCCGGTCTAGTCTTCTCCCCGCCCTACGGCCCTGACCGCACCCACCTGCCCTCGGCCACGCCCACTAGGCGCCCGTCGGCCCCGCCCCCGACCTTAGACTACTCGCAATGGTGTTGGGCCACGTTCCAGACTCGGCCACGCCCAGCAGGTTCCTGCCAGGCCCCCCCCTAGGCCCCGCCCTAGGCCCCGCCCCCGCCCCTTCAGCCTCCAGACTATTTGAGCTCAAGTTCGGGACGCTGGGCCTTCCCCTGAGCAGTTAGAAGACTTACAGTCTGAGAATCCGCTCAGCTGCTGAGCTAAGAACCCACTTCCTCTGCACAAGTCTGTTGTATCCGCCAGATATTCTGGAAGGAGAGGGTTCTCTTTCTAGTTCGGCTGAGTCTGAAGGATTAGGAAATAGAGCCCCCAGGGAGAAAGGAAGCAGTTGCATTTACCCCAGATCCCAGTTCTCCGTGTCAGAGTCTGGAACGGGAGGCCCTAGAAGCTATTTTGAGTTTCCTGCAAGGACAGCAAACCAGCTGGAGTGCACTGGCAGTTTGATGGCAAGAACAGAATTTGGATCAGCATCCTGAATACGGACAACGTTGAGTTTCTTTTTTTCTTTTTCCCTCCCAAATGATTTTTAAAATTGTGGTAAAATATACATAACATTTACTACTTTAAAGCATACAATTAGGTGGCATTTAGTAAATTCACGATGTTTGACATCAGTTTATTCCTTCATTGTTTCATGTTCATGGGCCTGAGGCATCTCTTCTTTAAAATGAGAATGATGCTGTGAGCACTGGCCCAGGCACTTGATGTGACCAGATAGGCTTCCCTCGTGGCTCAGATGGGAAAGAATCTTCCCGCAGTGCAGGAGACCAGGGTTCGATCCCTGGGTAGGGAAGATTCCCTGGAAAAGGAAATGAGAACCCACTCCAGTATTCTTGCCTGGAGAACAGTATTCTTGCCAGGCAGGCTACTGTCCATGGAGTGGCAGAGCCGGACACAACTGAACGACTCACATGAGCTCTGGCCAGGCACTTGATATGACAAACAGGCTTTGTGAATACTTGTGAGTCAGTCTAGGAAACAGTGCAGAGAGCAGCTACCACTGGATAAAGTTTAAGTAGTACTCTGTGGTAATACTATTACTCTCTGCTTTTTGCGCTGCTTTAACTTCATCCTGAATTCTGAGGGGGAAAAAAAAAAAGATGAGTACTCAGATAGGAAGAACCTCCAGGTGTCATTTGAAATGAAGGCAAACATTAATAATGATAATAACATTAATAGTAATAGATGTTTCCTGAGGCCACTTCTGCTACTCTAAGGACTGTCTATTATCTTAACTTTTAGAACACTTTATGTGGTAGGATCAATTTCTCCTCTGATTACAGATAAGAAAGCAGACAGAAAAGTGCCTTGTGCAAGGTCAGGGCTAGAACCCAGTTTGGTGATGTCTTAGCACCTGCCCTCTTAGTAGAGGACTGAGAACTTCTATATGATGCTAGGAAATACAGTAATATATTTAAGTGAGAAAGGACTTCTCTGTTGATCCAGTGGCTAAGACTATGCTCCCAATGCAGGGGGCCCAAGTTCAATCCCTGGTCAGGGAACTGGATCTGACACATGCTGCCTGCATGATTAATGAAGATCCTGCCTTCTTCAACTAAGACGTGGTGCATCCTAAATAAATAAGCAAAATTTTTTTGGAAAATATATATAATGAGAAAAAGAGGAGAAAAAAATAAGGGTTTTGGCAAGGGGTGTTTTTGTTTTATCAAGTGGGTAAAAGTATAAGAAGTTGGTTGGTGAGGGATAGGCAGAGAGAAAATACTGGGAAAGCAGTGGTCTTTAAAGATGGGGGCTTCTTGCATCCTAGGAACCAAGAAGGGGGTAAAAATAGCACCCAGGGGTGGCAGAAGAAAGAATAAATGTTGAGGTTAAGAACTCCAGGGGTGTGAGTCTTGGAGAGGTGACTATTTCCAGGAATGACTGGGGCTCATATGAAGATTATATGATGAATAGATGGATCAGCGGAAGCTTCTGGAGTGATTTCAGTGCTGCCGGCTGCTCTGATTGTGCCATAGCCATGAAGCCCTATAAATGTGTACCTGACTGTGGTTGTTAAGGAGAGGCCTAGAAGTCCATTATTTATAATGTTATGTATTTCACTAGTCCACGCTGCCAGACGTGAAATTATACACAAGATTCATGTTTAAAAAAATGACTTCAGTTTTCCTTTATGGAAGTTACTAAATTCTCCACTGCCCACATTACACCCATGGTGGAAGATTTGTGATGGATTTCACATGCAGGCTCTTCCTTCTAGGACTTTATCCCTTAAAAAGATAGTGTTAAAGAGAAACTGCTCTAGATTTTATTTCTCTTTGTTTTGAAAGAAGCAGCTTCAAAGAAAGTTCAAATTAATAGATAATTTCAGGAGATTTCTTCAGGAGATTTCTCAAACTATTGTGAACACGTGTGTTTGAACACGGGGAGTGAAATCATGCAAATTCAGTGTACAGCAGTGAAAAACCTTGACAGCATGTAGCATTTGAGTTTATAGACTCTAATTCCATTTCATGTCACATGTGATGTAAGCACTATTGTTAGTGAAACACCAAGTGTGGTCCTATTTAACAATAATGAAAATAAACATGCTCCAGAACTGGACCCCAGATCTACTAGCCCTGATGACTGGTGGGCAAGAATGGATGAAAGAGTTTTTTATGACGTCCTGCTGTAACAAATCGTAATCTGCCATCAAGCCTTGTACCCAATGTCATTTGTTCCAGCCTTTCTTCCTGGAAAAGCTTAATTTGGAGATATTTTTTGAAACCTAGAATATCACTGTACTATCATCTCTCTGTGATGAAATAGTTGAGTTAAAAATCATATTATTAAGGAACCAAAGCTTCCCAAATCAATCTCTCTGTTAAGGGTTTAGTTCAAATACACTTTCATTTCCACAGTACCTGCTTTTTATTTTCATAGTATCTTTGAATTTTGACAGTACCTATACTCAGAAACACCAAATTGGCAAAGAGAATAAAATCCAACCCAAACATCCAGTACCCCTTGCTGTTTGGGTTCAACTTCCAGAAGACACTCAGGTTTTCATCACCCTAGTTAACTGTATTAAATATTTATGCAGAAATAGACTATAGGAAAAAAGTCTGGAGAAGACAAAATGTAAAGTAATCCAGATAATTATCATATGAGTGGCAGGGAAAAAGCACAGTTAATGATATCAGTTCTTGAAGAGCGTTGCTGTCAGGTTTTAATTGGTAATTAGAAGTTAGAACTTACACTGCTACAGAAATTTTTCTCAGTTTAATTTTTGGTCATGGTGTGATAAACTAGTCCCATCATTTCTAGGAAATCTGTTAGATGCCAATGTCACAAGAGAGATAGGACAGAGCTTTCCACACAATTCTTCTATCAAACTACTATTTTTTTTACCTCCCAGAGAATACAACTAACTATTCAATGTATTTTATTATTTAGAGGCAAAGAAAAAGTGGAATTAGAGCTATTCTAGTTCCTAAAGAACTAGAGTAACATAAACCCACCCTCACCACAGTCCAGGAAATTATTTTTACATTTTTTAAAATATTCTTTTCCATTATGGTTTACCACAGGATATTGAATATAGTTCCCTGTGCTATATAGTAGGACCTTGGGTCTATCCATCCTATATATGAACTTTATATCTGCTAATCCCAAAGCCCTAGTCCTTCCTTCCCACTTGGCCACCACGAGTTTGTTCTCTACGTCTGTGAGTCTGTTTCTGTTTTGTAGTTAGGCTCATTTGTGCCATATTTTAGATTACACATAGAAGTGGAACTGTATGGTATTTGTCTTTCTCTTTCTGACTTCACGTAGTATGATAATCTCTAGTTGAATCCATATCGCTGCAAATGACATTGTTTTGTTCTTTTTATGGCTGAGTAGTATTCCACTGTTTATATGTACCACATCTTCTTTATCCATTCATCTATGGATGGACATTTGGGTTGTTTCCATGTCTTGGCTATTGTGAATATTGCTGCTGTGAACATAGGGGTTACATGTATCTATTTGAATCATAGTATTATCTCAGTGGGGCTTCCCAGGTGGTGCTAGTGGTAAAGAACCCACCTGCCAATGCAGGAGACTTAAGAGATGCAGGTTTGATTCCTGGGTCAGGAAGATCCCCTAGAAAGAAAATGAAAACCCATTCCAGTATTCTTGCCTGAAGAATCCCTTGGACAGAGGATCCTGGTGTGCTCCAGTCCACGGGGGTCACACAGAGTCAGACACAACTAAAGCGACTTAGCATGGTGTGACATTATCTCAGTATATGCCCAAGAGTGGTAATGGGATTGCTGGATCATATGGTAATTCCATTTTTAGTTTTCTGAGGAAATTCCACAATGTTTTCCATAGGGGCTACACCAACTTACATCAGAAAACTTTTTGATAGGGACTTTACTTTTACAAAGGAATCATCACAACCACCTGTAGAAGCCAGTCACAAATTTGTCTTCAAAAACTATTGTGATTTACAAGTACTTTGGAAAAGTAGAGCATTTCCTCAAAAACTAGTGTTAACAAATGATCCAGCAACTCCACTACTGGCTATAGATCCAAGAAGTGAAAGCAAAGAACCAAACAGATATTTGTATGCCTGTGTTGATAGCAGTGTTATTCACAATAGCCAAAAGGTGGAAACAACCCACGTGTTCATTGATAGATGGATGGATAAACAAAATATAGGCTGCATATACAATGGAATATTATTTAGCATTAAAAAGGAATGAAATTCTGATAATGCTACAGCTTGGATGAACCTTGAAGACATTATGCTAAGTGAAATAAGCCAGACATACAAAATGACAGATATTTTATGATTTCACTTACATGAGGTGCCTGGGAATAGTCTAATTCATAAAGACAGGAAGTAGAATAGAGGCTGGGGGTAGGAGGATGGGGAGTTAGTGTTTAATGAGTGCTGGGTTTCAACTTGGAGAA